AAAAAGACAACAAAAAAGCAAATGCAAGATAAAAACCACAGCTCAACATGAGCTCAAGCGCAACATGACCGTCAATGCACTGGGCACTTCCATTTGCTTTTTTCTTGTCCTGCTTCACCTTTCTAACGTGCTTTTTTTGCAACTTTTCAGCTGTTTGGATTGTTGTGGATTACAACTTTTTGATCTTTTTGTTGAGTTTTTGGTGATTTCTTCATTTCTTCATTTTAATACAACTCTCTCTATCAGTTCTGCTCCTTATAGTGGCAGCAACTCTCCATCGCCAGACTCTTATTCTCTGTATTGCTACCCGTGCACCTGGGCTGACTGTGTGACCGCCGACCCTTGCGTGAGCCCTGATCCCGCCCAACCTGCACAGGCCTGTTGGTCCCACCCACGAGGAGGCGGAGCCTACACCTCCAACATCCTCAATACACCTCTACTCAGTACTGACTCCGCCCAAAAGAACTACTCCACCTGCCCTAGACCGCGGCCGGTGGCGCAAAACCGCTTTGCACCGTTCGGCGCCCTAAACCCTTTTGCCAATCCGGGACACGCCCATGCCTCCTCCGATTGGCTCACCACTGGTAGGAACTCTCCCACTCTGATACCCGACCTCATTAGCTCTACCCCTAAGGAGCCTCAAGCCAATCAGGGAGATTCAGAAGGAGGCCCTGAGACTCCGCCCAGACCCGTGAAGAGTTCAGAAGAGGACACGGTCACCGCAGACCCCGCCTCCAGATCAGTCGCCATGGCAAAGGGGGCAGAGGGAGGGGCCGGGTCATCTTGGCGACCCCCAGCAGAGCTCTGCTGGCTCTCGGTGGAGGAGGTTTCATCCAGTCTGCGGTTCATCGGCCTTTCGGATGACGTGATTGGTCTGTTCAGCCGAGAGAGGATTGACGGCTCTATTTTCACTCAGCTGACAGAGGAAATCTTGTCTGAGGACTTTAAACTCACCAAACTGCAGGTCAAAAAAATCATGCAGTTCATCAAGGGATGGAGACCCAAGATATGAGCAGCATCCTCGTGAATTTAAGGAATGTTTTTGTTTGAGTGACACAAGAGTACTACAGCCACAATGAGTGCTTCTGCTCGGACTATTTCAGATGTTTTATATGTGTGTTTGTGTGTGTGTGTCTGAAATACACCTTTCTAATCGAAGGACTGACAGATTGTGACTAATATATTATGGAGCACTATTTGATGTTTTTGTTATGAATATTTTTATTCCTGGGGTGGGATGATTTTGTGTGCCTTCAGTGGACAGTCAGAACTTATGGGGTGGCTGTTCTGTAACTTTTTTTAGTTAAAATGATCCGAAATCAATATTTGAGCAAGTATATAACCAGCCAGTGTTCAAAACTATCGCCTTACTTCAGCCCTATTCACAATGGTTATAGTTTATAATAATGTTTTCTAATTTGAGTGGTACGGGTAGGTTTTCGCGGGAAATTCTAGCATGCTGCTGCATCATTACGTCACGCCTGTAAACATAAAGAAGTTGTCCCGGCTACTAGGCTATCGCATGTAAAGATCTTGCAGGTGGAGGATCGTTTATAGCCTTTTCTCACAGCAGCTGGAATAATTAAATGTATCATTTTGATGGCGGATTGTAATCCAGAAAGGATTATGTGTTTATGAAACACATGTGAATGAAATGAAATTATATTCCAGTTTTAAATGTGCTTCTGATTACAGATAGCCTGGGTTAAAATACAAGATTTGTATTTTAAAGACAACCAGTTCGAAGGGAGCATAGTTTGCTTTTTGAGTTAAAAGAATTTCTTAATATGAAATTTGAATGGTATGACAATTAGATTAGACTGGGCAGAAATTTTAATCTACTCGCTTATACACACTATACTCATAATCACGCAATGCTGATGTTGTTAACAATAATAATTTGAGAATTAAGTATAACAATAATAATAATTTGCATGGTTTGATGTAATAAGAGCTAATCGATCTTTAGATAAAATCACCATTGGTAGCGTGATTTATTGTACTGCTTTTTTCCTCAGTTGGTCAGAACAAACTTGGCAGACTTGTTACTTACTTGTTCAGATGACAATATCCGGTGAAAATTCTTATTTGAGTCATATATTCCAAGACGTAGGCTAGAATCTGTGATTGCGAAGTACAGTAAATATCCACACTGGTGCGGTGACTGCCACACACACATACTCCTCAAAACATTAGATTCATACGCGCTGGAGCTGTGCCGCTGCACAACCCACGCAAGGAAGATAATTCCGCACACAGCTGCAATTGCAGGTTTTCTAACAGAGATGCCGACATAGAGGCAAAACTTACAGACTACAGCTTTAAAGGGTTAGTTCGGCCAAAAATAAAATTTTTTGATCCTCTGTGACCCTCCCATAGACAGCAAGAGTACTACCACAATCAACGTCCAGAAACGTAGCAAGGAGATCGGTAAAATAATCCATGTGACATCAGGGGTTCAACCGTAATATTACGAAGCTACGAGAATACTTTTTGTGCACAATAGAAAAAAAAAAAAAAAACTTTATTAAACAATTCATCTCCACCCTAGCGCCATTTTGGAGAATATCCACTGAACGCAAACAGTGTATGTTGTTCTGTGTCAGCCGCACCACACAGTGCTGTAGTTGTAGCTGTTTTTTAGGGTGGAGATGAATTGTTGAATAAAGTTATTTTTTTTTTCTATTGTGCACAAAAAGTATTCTCGTAGCTTCGTAATATTACGGTTGAACCCCTGATGTCACATGGATTATTTTACCGATCTCCTTGCTACGTTTCTGAACGTTGATCGTGGTAGTACCCTTGCTGTCTATGGGAGGGTCAGAGAGCTCTCAGATTCCATAAAAAATATCTTAAATTGAGTTCTGAAGATTCCGAAGAATCTTACTGGTTTGGAACGACATGAGGGTAATTAATGACAGAATTTTCATTTTTGGGTGAACTATCCCTTTAAGTAAAAGTAAAACTTATGAAAACATTGTGTTAAGAATTTTGGCAAAATGTTCATTAAAAATGTCTGGGGGGGGGAAATATTAAATATATTTTTTTCTTGACAGATTTGATGAGATTCACTCATTAGAGCACAATTTTTCTCTTTCCTTCTGCTCTCATGTGGAGCTCATGTCATGCACACAGGAAGTGAGACTTTTTAGAGATTTAAAAATAAAGAGTTCAGTTTGTGATGTACACGTTAATAAGAGCAGCAAGTGTTTAGAGTCTGAACACTCTGTAAGTAGGTGACAGTAATTAAGAGTTAACTAATTACAGTCCACGCTGATGGAGGACGTGTGCGAGGTGAGTCAGAGCTGCTGAAATGAGAAGATTTTAGCCTTATCTCACCGTTTAAAAAATATTTTATCAGCATTTAAGGAATGCTTATTTAACAGCTTCCCCCTCTGTAGATGCATTTGTACTTTGAATAATATTTAACAGCGGTAGTGTTTCATTTGTACTGTAATTTAATGTCTGATTTAATTGTATGATCCTGATGGATCAACTACAGAAAAGAATAAATCAATAGTGCTCACTTGAACAAAGTGTATTGACAGGTAAAATGTAGCCTATAAAAGAAGCTCCAGTATATGTTCGGAATGGAAAACTAGATTTTTGCTTATTGTTGAATATTACTTTTAAAAACAGTTTTTAGTTATTCGCAGCCGGCACATGACCGACCTTCAACGTTGAAATATGGTTGAAATAATGACAGTTGTTGTTTCAACGTTGAAACAATTCACACAGATTTACCAAATATTACTTTTAAAAACTGTTTTTAGTTATTCGCAGCCGGCACATGACCGACCTTCAACGTTGAAATATGGTTGAAATAATGACAGTTGTTGTTTCAACGTTGAAACAATTCACACAGATTTACCGCCGCCAACTAGACGATCAATATTTGTTGAAATTTGTTTGAATATTGTTTTAAACCAAATTACGGAGGTCCTAAAGGAACAAGATGATAGAAAGACGGAGGAAAAAAGAGAGATATGGAGGGGGAAAAACTTTAAAATTTTACAAAAAATGTATATATATATATATATATATATATATAAAATATATATTATTACCCCCACCCATCCATCCATTTTTTCCAGCCCCATGTCCCCTTACTGGCTCCATATTGAATATATAATAATACTCATATTTATTTGTTACATCAATAAAAAAATTTTTTACCACTGACATGCTCTGGTGCCCCACACTTTGAAAACCTCTGTACTACAGAATATATTCTGTTTATCAGTACATACTGTATATGCTATAGTATGGACCTATGCCAACACATTCTTCAGTCTTTCAAAGAGTTTTCCTTTACATACAGTAAAATACAGGATGGTGTGAGATATAAATCCTTTCAGAAAATATTCAGAGGTTACAAGTTTATTATAGCAGAATCATACAAACCACTATGCTATACTAAAAAAAAAAAAAAATGTCTCCAGGCACGTTGGTTAAAACAAAAATGTAGCTGCAACATTCAGAAATTATTCTACAGGGAACTAATGTGTAGCTGAATAATGCCAATAAATATGCAACTGTTAAATTCTTTAAAAAAAAAAAAGTTAATGTTGAGAACAAACCTCAACTTTAGAGGGATTTTACATAGTTATCTTTTCTTTAACCACATAAATAAACTGATAAATTATGTACAGGCCAAGTTAGGAAAGATCTGCTTTTTAACCCACTAATCATAAAACAAATAAAATGAAAGATTTGTAAATAATGCACTACTGTAAGTGTGTGAATGTGACGCTTAATTAAAATTGAACCTAAATTGTACCTTTTATAATGTTAAAAAAGATTTCCGTATCACATAAATGCTGTTTTTTTTTAAAAAGTTTCTATTCCTCAAAGAATTCGGAGAAAAACATCAGTTTCCACAAAAATATTAAGCAGAAACTGTTTTCAACACTGATCATTTTTTTTTAAATTGATAGAAGAAAGAAAAAAAAAAAAGATTTTAAACAAACAGTCCAAATTTAATTAAGTTGTCTGCTTCTTCACAGGTACACCTTTTAACCACAAACAAGCTTGCAATCTTTAATTGGAACACATAAAAATGTGTTTGTTTGTTTTTACCTGCATAAGCTATTCAAACATGTAGGAATTTACCTGCAGTGCTCGAACGGCCTCGGCTAACATAGGCGCTAGACAGCGAGTGGTGTAAAAACCTGGACCATCCTGATGAAATATACATACAACATAATTATTCGCTGATGCACAGAAAATGTTGAAAATATAAAGCAGAACGTGTTCATACCCCCACGACTATGATGACCTTTCCCTGTTTAAGCCCAACAGCCACGGCAGATGCTGTTGTGTCTTTGGAGGTTTTATTGGTGGTGATGATTTCTAGCAGTTGCATTTTATCCACAGGAGAGAAATAGTGCATCCCGATCACCTACATCACACACGAGTAGTTCAGCATAAAGACTTTCACAAACAATCACTCCTTCAGTACTGACTAATAACAATCAAACCCATTTAAAACACTCAAACACACACACGCACCTTTTCAGGTCTCTTACTGGCTGCTGCAATGTCTTTGATTGGCAGAGCGGATGTGTTTGTGGCAAAAATACAGTGAGGAGGAATCACCTGCACACAGAACAAGTATGATCAGTAGTGTATATATACGGAGGGCTGCACTGTATATTGCACTAAGCAAACACACACAAAGTTGAACTTACGGCCTCAACCTCCTTCACCACTTTATGTTTGATTGACAGGTCTTCAAACACGGCTTCAATGACCATGTCAGCATTCTCAAAGTCACGGTAGTCCAGCTGTCCTGACAGCAATGACATAATCCCATCTCTCTCGAATGTCGTCAGACTCTTCTTTTTTGTTTTGTCGTTAAGACTGAGAAAGAAACAGTGAAATATATTTATTAGATTTAACATAAGTTTAAACATTTAAAATAACATTTAAAATACAAAAATATTGTTTTTACATGTTTAACTAAGTAACCGTTTTAAAGGATTGAATATATTACAACTTCTTTTGTAATTCAACCTTTTTCCAGGTTGAACTTGAAAAAAGAATATAACAGTTTTAAATGATTTGAAAGTTTTTTTTTTAAAGATTTTATTAAAAAAATATATTACAATGTTAAACAAATAAATAAATATTTTGAAAAAAAAAAAAAAAAAAAATATATAAATAAATATATATATATATAAATATTA